GAGATACTGCATACCGTTGTAATAAAAATAAAATGGTAAAATAGAAATTCGGTGTTTTTATCTTTTCTTAGAGCAGTCGTTTTTGTTTTTGTTTTGTTTTGTAATTTATTCTAGTTTTACCAATCGCGTAAGTACGGTAATAAATTACTTTGTAAACGCGAATATAATGCGCGCCGAGTGAAGAGATCTTCTTTCTTTTCATCTTGCCAAGCTCCGCTGTTAATTGTTGTCTGACAATGAGCTCGCTTTGCTGAAACATGCAACGCGCGACATTTCCAATGATTAAGCCGCGCTTTTGTAATCAGCGAGGCGGATAAACTCCTTTCGCGAGGATGCGCGGGTTAATCCGCTTGGACGAAGCGACGCCGCAGCGTCGTTTCCGCACGTTGTCGCGATTACGGCTAATTATCGTCGGGTTAATAAGCCGCGGCGACAATCGCACCGGGAAAACGTGCTCGGCGCCGCGAGAGGAGTTTATACGCGAAGCCGCGTTGTTGCTCTGCACCGAACCGCTCGTAGCTGCGTCTCGCCGGGGACAATCGTCCGTACAGAGAGAGAGAGAGAGAGAGAGAGACAGAGACACAGAAAGAGAAAGAGAAAAGCAGCCGGTTACACACCGCTCTAACCGGAATAGGTCAGAAGTTGAAGCAATTAGCCCAGTTTGTCGCTCGCACGGAAAACAATGCCGGAAAGTTGTTAACGATGTCACGCCGACCATTGCGTTCTCCACTTTAAACGTTGTTTCCGGCCAAATTTGCTCATTCCCGGTCTGCGGCCCCTTCCTTACCACATGCACACACCCGCGCGCTTTGCTGCATCTTCCATGTCTCCCCGCTGACGTTGGGGATCGCCTCTAATTATAAACAAATATAACTTCGTTGCTTATATGCTTCTTGTTGTTGGCACAGCAAACAACGAAGATCCGCGCTCTTGTAATAATTCCCGGATTATTAAATATTTTATTATCACGCTTTTTAACGTGAATGTGCACCACCGAACAACGTCCTTAACGTCCCGGTTGTTTGATAAGAACGAAATTTCCCGTTAGCGAAAATTATTAATTACGTGAAACATCATATGTCTGCAATTAACGCTAATTTTCTGTCTGCTAAGAGGGCTTTGTTTTTCGTCGCGCTACCCCACCCCCCAAAGATGTCTTTACGACTGTCGTAACGGTAGTCGAAAGCCGATTTGGATGAAGAAGCATCCGGAGTTGTGAGCGGCGCGATGTTTGCTGCAGCTAACAGCGCGCGCACGGTGGTACAACGTTTAATGTTTAATTAGGTCGGCGCACTAGCGTCGCGCTGTGCGCCGCACAATTAAGGAAACGTTAGGTAGCTAAGGACGTACTAACTGAGAGACTTGAAATCTGCCGAGTATTGTGTTATTAACCTGCATCACATTTCACTTTGGCTGAATATCAAGAATTTGCCCGCTCAGCAAACCTTCGTGTGCCGCTTGTCGTTACAAACCCAATGTCCGCGAACGCAGACGTTGCCCGTGCATTTTTAAAACTCGCTCCTTTTGCTCAGTGATGAAAAAACAACTTATATATAACGCAAAATACAAGAAAATAAACCAAAGCGTACGCCGCGTAAAAAAATATTCCGCTTTTGTTACAGTTGTGTCCCGTACATTTTTGCGTTCCGGTATAAGATAAAGTTTGAAAAATTTCGATAAGAGTGGAGAACATAGTTCGTCGAACGGAAAGAAGGGGAGGGGAAAAGAGGGACCAGGTTAATTATAGTAAAAACACACACTCAAAACGCTCATTCACGTCGAACTTCGCATGATAAAACCGCGTCTCTATACATCAGTTTGCCTCGAAAGAAGTTTTAATTATGAAAAGCGTCGGAACGTGTTGAATATAGGACGACGACAACGACCTATCGATTTTTACGCGACATCGCGAATGCAGAACGTTCGAAAGAGGCGGGAAAAAAGTGTCCCTCTCTCCCGGTCGGTTAGCGACGAAGAAGAAGTGTAATGACTTTCGTAAGCACATGGCGCCGCACCTGGAACTACTTGCTTTAAATCTGCGTGCGACGCTATCCCGTATTAACATTTTTTGCGAGTGTCCCGTGCTGCAAGCAACAAAAAGTCTTGCCCATTATGCTAATCCGTAAAGGACACGTGTTTGTAATGGCTTATTTTTACTTAGGCGAAAGTAACGTCACACTGAGACGATGCGAAATCCTTCTTTACGGCGGATTACGCACACTTCTATTTAAACTGCCGATTAGTTCAGCTCGTCGCGGGTTCTTTAGCAGCCAATTCGCATATCGAAACTTCGTTTCCTTGTAGCATTTTCGATTAATACGAGTTGAATCCCGTTTGTTGGAGCGATTAATGATGTCACTTCGATTAATCAAATAATAATATTATTGATCAATTTGTCAAATTTGATGTCATCGTTTCGGAAGCGATTCGATCTCTATCGATCAAAACCGCTGTATTATATCGCCTGATAAAACACATCGCCAAAAAATTTTTTTTTACAAAAAAGTGTAACACAAAATAAGGACCGTATGATATCTCGATTTATGCTATCTGTTACATTAAATTTTCTATACTTAAATTTAGAGGATAATGTATTTTTAATTAAAATATTACAAGGATTTCTGCGATTTTAATTAAAAATTTTAATTAAAATTGCAATGCAATGTTTCTAACCAGTTTGTAACTAAATTCGTGTAAGCATCTCCCTGACGTATCGCTCGTCAGATTTCTTGATGTGCGTGCGATTTGTAATTAAAACGCAAACTTTGAATCGATACTTAACTATTTACTGAGATTACACCGTGCCGAGAGCTGCGACGATCTTCCGCAGATGATAGTGATAATTACGGCGTTAACTTCTTTCGCAAGAAGATGGGAGGGTGGCGGAGGGAGTGAGTAGGAGGTTGGGGGAGTTGGCGCGGGCAATTAAGCGAAAAGTCGTATAAATATCAAGGTAGATCCCGAGCATACGGCTTCGGAGAGGGTTTAGGCGCGGAGTTAAGTTTTCAACGACCCCCCGAGGCTCGAGATGGGGACATCAGATATCGCGAAATGTACGGCAAGAGCTTATTTCCTCCTTCGTATAACATTCTAACCAAGCGTTCCGCGTCAGTACGGCTGGTGAGCTACACCAGCAGATTCTTCGCGATTCTGGACGCTGGAAAGTAATGAGACCCGTTTGTACAGACCCGCCGTTAGAACATTAACGATATAGTACGCAAAAAAAGAGACGAGGTAAAACTAAACGGCGCGCTGGTGGCCTCAAAGAGAAATTTAAGACAGCGCGCTGTTCTCGCGCTTTCATCCTTCGATAACGCACAGGTCTTGTCGTGGTTTCTTTCTGAAAACGATGTCACGACTATATTTTTAGTAGTTGTTTTTACGTTAATCGTGTCGCGAATATGACACTTTTATTCTTAAATGATTTTTCTTTGCCATCGTTCAATTAAACGTTTCGCAGCAGAAAAATCTGAAAGTGTCAGATTATTGTTTTCTTCGTCGATTAAATTTAACATCTTCATGGTGATTGCGGATACATACTTTTCTCTCTCTCTCTCTCTCTCTCTCTCTCTCTCTGTTGAATTATGAAACGACGCTGAAACTCTAAGAGATTAACCCACTCATACGCTTTAATGCATATTAAATGGATCTAAGAGGTAACCTTTCCTCTCTCCTCTCATTTACGAAATTCGCTCCGTGCCGCAAGAGCCCAAGGCTTTTCCGCTCACCTCCTTTATGTTCCGTGAAACTTAATAGCCGACCGGAATTTCTTTTGCAACGCATTACATTCACAACAATGTATTAGCCAACGCGATAAATTTTCTTTCGCGCGATGCGAATGCAAATTTAAACCAAAAAAAAAAAAAAAAAAAAAAAAAAACCGTCACAAATAAACGAGTGGAATCTTATTTCGCGGAGTATCACCTTTATCTTTTACAATCGTCAGCGATGTTTTATCGGCACTCGACACGCATTTTAAACACCGATTTGCGCCTCATCGTCACGCTCTAATAGATAAGAATCAAAGCGTCGAGAATAGCGTGCGGAAAAAAACAAATGTAAAAAAGTATATCGATTCTTGCGTGAGCATAATGAGAATATATTTTCGGGTTTAAGTAACCAAAGACTCAACGTGAAACGATAAGATGCTGCTGCTGCGACATTTCGCGTTTTAGCGTCAACGTGCGGAGCGCGCGCGGTCCATATATCACTCTCCGTACGTACGGCACGTATCGCCTCGTTGGCAGGGTTTTCCGTACGCCAGGAAGCACCTTACCCGGCGGACTGTTACTTAAGAAACATCAAGCGAGTCACCTTAGCGCAGGGACTCCCGTTGTCCAAGAAGCATTCTCGCCCGCCATCCTCGCAATTCATGCATAAGCTTCCATCTCTATAAAGGAGTTAGTGGTGTCATCTCGGTGGGTACTCATGTTTCATGAGGCTTACCCGCGGTACTAAGCCGGCGGCGACCCACATAGTACGCGAGCCAGAACAACGCCTTGGTTAAATAACTCTGCCGAAGCACAACCCCTCTCTCTTCTCCGACTATCCCCCGCTCTTACCCGTGAAAACTATCCGTGGCTCGTAGACACACTCGCCGTTCTCTCCCTTCTCCTTCACGTATCTCGTTAACGGGTCGTGGCTTCACGCAAACTCAGCCGTGGCTTTACGGAACACGCCGAATATTGTCGTCTTCTTGACCGGATGATTCTTGCGCGCGACCGCAAAATTCTATTCTTCTTAGAATAGACGAAATCGATACGGAGGAGCAATCAAATCGCTTTTTGTCCCCGGGCTCTTCAACTGGGTCACCGAGTTCCTTTTTTGCGAGACCTTTCAGCACGAGAGAGAGAGAGCTTTTTTACTTTGCGGTGGTAAACGGACTAAAACCGAAGATTTGCCGCGAAAGAAAGCTCACAAAGAAGATAGTACTACAAAAATGATATATAAAGGTCACAGAATGACCGTCTTATTGTTTATTTCGATAAAACGAGTAAACGGATTGACTTATTTTACATTTCGTGATAGCTGCAATATTTTTTTTTTTTTTTGATTAGCAAACGTGAAACATCAGTAATATACCAACAAATGTATAGCCGCTGTAAGTACTACTGTCCTCTAAAAAGGATCTCAAGATAGTTAGGAAAATCACTCTTCTTTCACACATGGATACAATTCTCATGAAATTTTTAAATGTATTCAATAGAATATTTTCAAAAATTCTGCGTTTCAATATTATTCAATCTTTCAAGATCTCTAAAGCGATTGTCAGTATTGTAACGTGTTAATAAATCTCCTATAAACTTATGCGATTCATCTCTAAGAAGTCTAGCGACGTTTATCTTGAATATATATGTTATCAATTTTTAATCGTATACGCCTAGTTTGTAATGCAACTCAATTAAATGCAGATGTTCTCTGTGATGTAAAAGGCTGTTCATGATAAGATGCGACTGTTCTCTGTGATGTAGAAGGCTGTTCTTGATAAGATGCGAATGTTCTCTGTGATGTAGAAGACTGTTCTTGATAAGATACGAATGTTCTCTGTGATGTAGAAGACTGATCTTGATAAGATGCAGATGTCCTCTGAGATGAAGAAGACTGTTCTTCAATCTCATCTTGAAATGTCTGAGAGTGTAAGACGGTCTCACGTGAAAACTAATTTCTTCTGCATGCACTGAACAAAATAAGAACAAAAGAAAACAAAATAAGTACATGTGTTTTTACCTTACATTTATATAGTCTCTGTGACTATAAATTAATAAATAACAAAACAATTGGTAAAATGAAGCAACATATAGTAAATTATATACATATATGCATAGACATATACATATATGTATATAGACAGAATGAAAACGACGATCGACAATGCAACGATACGAGAAAAGTGCCGCGACGTCAATGCAATGCTAAATGATAGGTTAAGTAACCCGTACGCAAGCATCGTGTATAAAATGTATATATGTATATAATATTGTATACATCACATATATGCGCAACGCAACCTTCGCGCAAAAGTTATCGTCGTACGCGAAGGTAGTCAGATCTGTAAGCATCGCGAGTTACACCGCAATTTCTTGTCTATATATATGTATGTATATGTTTATGCATTTATGGATGTATAAGTTGTACACATATATTAAATATAGATGCTATATGTATATATTTTCAGATTTTATCAGTTTTTTGAGAAATCTATACTACTCTTTTATATTATATAACTACATATACCCAAATAAGAACAAGAAGAATCAGTAACTAATAGGAAATAGATAAAAATGAAAACATCGATGTATACAAAGTTACAAATATAAACTTACGGACATATGCTTCCTTGATGTGCATGCTCGGTTTCTATGTGATGCTGCAACATCATTTCTGCACCTTCAGGTAGAGATATGCGGAAATTACAAAAAGTGCATTGATATTTATAAGTTTTGCATTGTGCACATTGTTTCCCCGTTTTTTTGAAATAACGCAATATATTATCTTTATGATCTGTTGTTGCTTGCATGTCAGAATGTGACGTTGTGCTCCTGGAAAGTGAAGCTGCGCCCGCGTGACGCTTCGTTAATCTCTGAGCTTTTAAAAGAGATTATATAGTACTAACTATTGTAATAAATTATACACAGAAGCTGTTCTGTTTTGATCAGGTGTAACATTAGTGTGCAAAAAATGTTTCTTTGTAAAGAAAACATTATTTGAAAACGTAAAATACAAATTGTTTCGAATGAAGCTTTGGTTTGAAGAAACTTGAGTTTGACAATAGAAAACTTATTAAAGTTTTGTTATAATTGAATACCTTAATTACTCATGTGATATTTTCTACTTTTTTTTTGATGAGTTGTTACTACATACAATAAACCGCACAATTGCTTAATCACTAAAGCCGTGCAACGCTAAGATATATGACTACTTTACACAATCACAGGTTTACTAAATAAAATATTTCTTTTTAATTGTCTATTATTAATTGTAATTAAAAGACATTTGAGATTTGTACAAACGGGATCTATGCAACAGTCGATCTGGTCAAAAAAAATCTTGACAATCGGTGACCTGCCAAATTTTGGCGTGATATTGCGTGATGTATAATTTTTTGTCTATATTTGTAAAATTTTCACCAAAAGTTTTAGCGTTTTTTTATAAACAATGTTGTTATTATATAATATTCAACCCGATAATTTCGGCTATTTCAATGCAAATAAATATTCTATTAACCTTCAGGAATAGTATCTATTTTGCAAAATTCAAATGGATAACTTTTTACAGAAGTTATGCACTTTTAAAGTTAACGTTTTTTTCTGTACTGACGCACACGACACGCTACTCAAAAGAAAGCCATCTTTGAATTCAAGCATAAACTCAGGTATAAAAGATAGACCCTTCTCTCTTTTGTAATTCAATAGGCACATTATCATTGTAGCCAACTCAACAAGGGTACATTCCAAAATCCTACATTGGTAACCAAAAACTATAGTACACATAACGTAAAATATAGCATTTTAATAACCAAGGTAGAATTTTGGAACATACCTCAGAGTTTCCAAGATCGAAACTCCATTTTTGGGGTTTTGACCACGTTTTTAGGAGTTTGGACTGCTGTGCAGCGCCCGCATCACTAGAACATGACGCTTTGTTAATATCTGAGCTTTTAAAAGAAAAATTGTATATTACTAACTATTGTAATAAATTATATACAGAAGCTGTTACAGTCAGGTGTAACAGTAATGTGCGAACAATGTTTCATTAGAAATAAAAAAAGTAAATTGAAAACGTAGAATACAAAGTGTTTTGAATGAAGCTTTGTTTTAAAGAAACTTGAGCTTGACTATAGAAAATTTAATAAAATTTTGTTAGCTTAATTACTCATGTGACATTTCTCAATTTTTTTCGATCAGTTTTTCCTACATACAATAAAAAACGCACAATTGCTTAATCACTAAAGCAGTGCACTATCACATAAAAGATATGACTAAATTACACAATCAAAGGTTTACTAAAAATGAAATAGTGTATCCTTTTAATTGTTTATCAGTAACTTGTCTATCACTAATTGTAATTGAACTACATTTGATAATACACGTATAACATATTAGGTATTAGAAATGACTTAGATGTTAACATTGTGGTCGAACATTGTGTGTGTACATACATGTGTGTATGTGTATTGTAACAGTTATACGTGGAAAATAGTACTACTTTTTCTTTTTGTTTTAATTTGCTAATTATAGTTTATGAGTACGTTAAACGCGAAAATAAAAAATGAGAAAACTTATATATAAAACTTATTAATTTGAAAAGGAAATCGTATCAAAATCTAGTGTTATGTAAGTGCATGTTTGGTCAAGTTTGAGTGTGACTTATCAAATTCTTTATTACATATCTTACATATATATAGTAGATACAATCTTTCTGTAAAATAGTGTGTCTAGAGTTTTTGTATATATTCCTGTATATACTATATTGCGTGTACGTTCATATCGAATATATAAAATATCAAGAAACCTAAATTGCGACTATTTGGTAACGCAATTTGCTGTTCTTGATAAGATGCGGATGTTCTCTGTGATGTAGAAGGCTGTTTTTCGATCTGATCTTGAAATGTCTGAGAGTGAAAACGGTGAAAACTAATCTTTTTTGTATACAAAAAGAAACAAAATAAGTCTATATATATGTATACATGTCACTGCACTTGTAGTCGATGCTCGGTATATAAATGATGCTGCAAGACCATCATTTCTGTACCTTCAGGTAGAGAAATGATTAACTTGCAAATAATGCATTGATATCTACAAATTTTGCATTGTGCAAATTTTTCTTCAATTTTTATGAAATTTAGCCGTACGTAATTTATTTTATCTTTATGATTTGTTGTTGCTTGCGTGTCAGATTGTAACGTTGTGGCCTTGGAAAGTGACGCTGCGCTCGTATTACTACAACATGACGCTTCGTTAATTTCTGAGCTTTTAAAAGAGATTACTAATTATTGTAATAAATTAGTACACAGAAGCTGTTCTGTTTTGGTCAATTGTTAACATTAGCGTGCGAACAATGTTTCGACGTCAATGCGATACTAAATGATACGTGAAGTAAGCTGTACGCAAGCATCGTATATAAAATGTATATGTAACATTGTATACACGAGGTATACACGAGGTATACGCGATTAAAAACAAACAAACGTATTGCGCGACGCAACCTTCGCGCAAAAGTTATTGTCGTACGCAAAGTTAAATCTGTAAGCGTCGCGAGCTCGTTACCCCGTGTATTTTCTATATATATGTATATATGTCTATGCATATGTGTATGTATAATTTTTTATATATATATTAAATATAGATGCTATATATGTATATATCTTTAGGTTTTATCAGTGTTTTGAGAAAAAGAATATTACTCTTTTATAATATATAATTACATATACACAATTAGTATACAAGATAAAAGAGTAAACAAGAGGAAATGGAAACAAATAAAGACGGTACATACAAAGTTACATATATAAACTTACGAAAATTTGCTTGCTTCATTTGCATGCCTGGCCTCCAAATGTTGTTGCAGCAAACTGGTTTCTACACCTTGAGGTATAGAAATCGTTACATTGCAAAAATTGCATCGATATGTAAGATAATTGTTGCACTGTACACATGTTTTTGTTATTGTCGTGAAGCCTTTCTTTATAGCATCTGGTTGATCTGTTGTTGGTTGCATGTGAGAATTTTTTGACATTGTGCTCTTGAAACCTGACACAGAGTACATTGGTCCAAAATCTCAAAAAACGTGGTCAAAATATGAAACCGTACTTTAATTTAGACAAAAGTTGGTATCTCGAAGTTTTTGAGGTCGCTGATTATGTGAATCTAAAGCAAACTTAAAAAAAAACAAAACAAAATAGTAGAGTCAAATTTAAAAAAATAATTTGTATTATAGAAGTTTTATAAAGTTCACAAATAAAACTGAATAAGTCAAAACTAAAATTATGTATATTAAATTCTAAATTGCATAAAAAAGCGTTTACAAATAAAACCAAATAAATTATTCTAATAAATTTTCTTCATTCGATTCTTCGTCATCTGAATTTTCAGGAAATGAGTTGTCTTCTGTCTGAGTTTGAATTTCTTTTGATTGTGCAGCTTGAATTGTATTGGTGGAGAATTACCAATCTTAATTAATAGGAAACACGCGAAAATTTGCTGGTTTTTTTACTTGTTTAAAAAAGAGGCATATGGAAATCTCGTTGTATAAAATAACCATACAACTAAAAGGGAGGATCCCGATAGCCAAGATTTCTTGTGCGCAGATCGACGGTTGCACAGGTCCCATTTGTGTACAATGTTACACAGACAAAGCTCTATACATTGTGACATTAATGATATTGAATACATTTGTTTTTGCGCTTTGAGTGTCAGTCTATCTTTGTTCTACATTTAAAGAGCAATAAAGACGGATTAATGCCTAAAGTACGCTCGTACTTAAAACGAACTTACTCATTGTGACACAAAGTTAGGTTAGGTTAGCTTAAATTCTTTTGGGGGAGTGCAGAAGGGCTACGTCCTTCTTGCTCACATGCTTACAACACAAACATAAATAACATAAAAAAAGTTTTCTTTTAATATTTTTCGGAAAACAATGGTTTATTTATGAAAGTTTATTTGTTAACAAAGAAACAAGTTGTTAGTAAACGACAAGAATGGCTTTATTATTCTTACTCAGAAATATAATTTTTACAATATATAAAAAATAAGTACATGCTTCTGTGCAAAAAAGTTATTTGTGTAATAAGATACATGCAATAATATTCATCATATATGCGTAATCGGGATCTGCGCAAAAATTTTTGGTACAAACAAGATCTGCACAAACGGAATCTGTGCAACAGTCGATCTAATCAACAGAAATCTTGGCAATCGGTGCCCTGCCGACTTTTGTCGTGATATTGCGTGATATTTAACTTTCTGTCTATAGTTGTAAAATTTTGATCAAAAGTTTCTTTATAAACAATGAGTACGTTCAGACAACTCAACGGTTGAGAGATTATCACTTATGATAGGATTATTCTTCAAAATCCGCTGCGGTTCCGAAAGTATGATCCAATCAGAAGTGATTATCTCTCAACCGTTGTGCAACTGTTGAGTTGTCTGAACGCACCCAATGTTGTCGTTATACATATAATATTCCCAAAAATTTCGGCTATTTCAATGCAAATAAATATTCGACTTACCTCCAAGAATAGTATCTATTTTACAAAACTCAAATTGACCACTTTTTATGAAAGTTATGCACTTCTAAAGTTAACGTTTGTTTTCCGTGCTGTGATGCATACGACACGCCGCTCGAAGGAAAAGTATTTTTGAAATGAGACCCTTCTTTCTTTTGCCTTTTCAATAGGCACATTGTTATTGTAGCCAACCTAACAGTTACAATTTCCTAGATTCAAATCTTCATTTTTAGGGTTTGGCCACGTTTTGGATCACTGTGCAGCGCCCGCATGACTAGAGCATGACTAGAGCATGACTAGAGCATGACTAGAGCTTCGTTAATTTCTTTCGAACGCTCAGGTTCGACTAAATTCAATATTGATTTAAACGTGATATATATCGCGAGAATTTAGAAATCAGTATTCATGTGGTGAGAAATTTCTGCTTATCATTTTGAATATTTACGTTATACTGCGAACTCACTCTTAAAGTAGTTTCATACGTCAAGTGTTTTTAGTTAGAACATACGTTACTTACTAATCACATGAGTGAAGTAATGGTAAAAATGTCCAAAATAATAGTATACTATAAATTATAAATAATAAATAGAGGTAAGAGATAAACATTTATTCTGCAAACGTTTTTGTGGCACCTTCTATCCGCAAATCGGTGTCGTTTACGTCCCATTGTATTTTTCTCTATGTTAAAGTTATAGAAACCTTCAGACAAAAGTTACGTTGTATCTTTAAACCTTTTTCTTTACAGATCAATCAACATATTTTGGAAATAATTAATTTGTTGAAATAATTGTTTAATATAAACAAAATAACTCAAGTGAAATGTAGTGTTTCGTTTAAAAAATCGTAACTTTCCTAGAAAGAGCGCTGCTTTTGTTTTGAAACTAGCATAAAAAACAAGTCTTTAATTAAAAATATCTTGATCACACTGTAAATTGCGCCGAAGTATGTGAAATACAGATTAAAACAAAAAAAATTTTTACTTATTTGTGCGAAAATTATACGTAGTCCGCAATCCAGGGCCGTGTCAGCTTGAAATTTTGTTTCGTCATTGTGGCTGTCAAAAAGTTGTACTGGAGATCTGAAAGGACTATAATAAAAATTGGCCAATTTTGGGCCTCGCTGGCAACGAAAGGTTTTTGCAGGTTACGCTTTCACAGATTATAAGGAATCTAAAATGCATAATTATTTATCCGAGAGGCGATCAAAAAGTTATTAACAAAAAGAAAAATAAGGATGAAGTCGGAAATGTCATTAGTAAAACTAATTTGTTTTATCTTTTTCTGATGATGATCTATCTTTAAAATAATCATTTAGGAAATCAGCTTGTAAGTTAATCGTGGATTGGTGTCGAGGATATCGAAATAATTAACAAATAATTAACATGTTGAATGTCGTGGCGGTCACCGGTTATACCAAGATTAGTAAAAACAAATAATTCAAGTAAATTACAATATTGTTTTACTTTGCAATATTATCATTGTTATTACAATGATGTAAAGAAACCAATGCACTATAGAACATATAAAAATAATTTTATTTAAAATTGTACACGTTATACGCGCATGTTGTGATGAAATTAGTGAACGGGTTGTTGGATGTTGTTCTCACGTAACAATAATTTTATAGTTTTGTGGATATGTTCGACACCAATCTACGAGTAACTTATTAGTTGATTTCTTAAATAATTATTTTAAAGGTAGATTATCATCAGAAGAAGATATAACGACGATTAAACAGGTGAATTTTATTAATGACATTTCCGAGTTTACTCTTATTTTTCTTATTTTTTATAACTTTTCTATCGCTTCCCGGATAAATAATTATGTATTTCAGATTCCTTAGAGAGAGACCTGTAGAAACATGACCTGTAAAAAACTTTCATTGCCAACGAGGGAGATTCCAAAATCGAACAAATGACTCTGGTTTGCAGTTTGAGGATTAAATATGCGGCTACATTGGTATAATAAAAAATTGATATTTCTTACAATAAAATAATCTATTTAACAAAGACATTATTCGTACAGTATTTTTAGTTTAGCATGCTTAATGTATCGGAGCTTATTGCGCAACTCCTTACGTCGCGGATTCAGAATACTTGGGCAAATTCTCGACGCGAGCTCGCATTTCGAAAGCTCCTGAGAGATCCTTCAGGGTGGGCGAGGAGTGAACACTCGGTGTCTATATAGCGCGCACGCGGTATTCGAGTAACGCGCGCCTTGCAAATTCTTTCCGAGTCTCTCTCTCTTTCTCTCTTTATCTATCTATCTCTCTCTTATCTCTTTCCGCGGCGTCTGGGCCAAGCACGCCGGTCCATGTTCGTGTTCCACCGGTTATTCGTTCGATGAAAGCGAGAAACGACCTGCAGCAATCCGACACCGCGGCACAGAACGCTCGGTTTCTCTTTTGGCGTGGCATCAGTACCTTCTCTGCGAGAGGCGCGGCTGAAATACCATCCTGCTACCAGTGTTGGTATCTCTTGGCAAAGTGAACACGATATCGTTCGTACCTTACATACTCTTTTCCGTTGTTCCTCGCGGAACGATATCGCGTCGTGTGCCGCTGATTGTGAAAAAAAAATTATATTTGCAGGATTGTTAACTTTTTTTTTGTTACAAATATGCGTGAAGAGTTATACGGCAAGCGACCATTTTTCATTACGAAAAAGAGCGAGACGCACAAGTCATTGTCACAGCAAAACGCTATTATTTTCATCTTAAATGTTTACTCTGAGAATAATTATCATTTTCTCTCATTACTTTTTTTTTTCATCAGATAAATATATATCAAAAAATTGTTCGATAAATACTCCAAATTTATATTGATAGAACTGATGTTGACTTTTCGTCGGATATATGCAACATTCATTCGAAGAAAAGATAGAATTTTTCACATCAAAAATATCTCGTGTTCGAGATCACATCTCTTACAAGCGTACGAAGTACGTTCGAGCATGAGAGAAAGACGAGAGAGAGAGAGAGAGAGATATTCCGAGGATGTTTCTTGCAAATATCTCAGTGACGTTTTCAACGCAATATTTTCAAATGCGCGTAAAGCAATATCGTCGACGTAAATAGCAATATTGCTTGTCATATTGTGCGAATGCTCATACAACAAGTAAACAATGCACAGTGTCAAAATTTTTCAAGCTAAACTACACACGCAACGATTTGTATCTCTCTCACGAATCCGACATATTGAACAAAAATTTGTGATAATCGAAACCGGGAAAATGGCTACCTAAAGAGAAACCTTATGCTACATAAGATTCGCCAGTAGAAGACAAAGCAAACGAAAATTATTCCCCCTCCCCCAACGACTTGCCAGGATCGACGATATGGTCCCCCATGTTTATTAATAGCGCTTTCCTTTCCGAGTCCTTTTACGAAACTACCACCAGTAGGCGAATTTACTCAAGCAGATTGCCAGATTCGTAATATCCAGTTAACCCTCCGTTTGCTGTGAGAGACGCGAAATGAGACTAACGTTCTTTCGGAGCAACCTCGTGAAATCGTGAGGGCTAGCGTTCTCATGAATTTCGTAGCAACTTCTGAATCGTAGAGATAAAGATAATTTGAGAGTCTACGATCCAGCCATCACCGTCGCGCGCAGAAGACTTTGTGTTGTACGTCTTTGTTTTCGTTTCGATCTAAACTCGTAAGATCAATTTAAAGAGATCGACTAATGTGTCGATTGTTGACGCTTATTGTTAAAAAACTGCTCGAGAAATATTAAGAGCGAAATAACGAATAACGTTCTCGTTAGTATCGATTATAAATACATCGGACTGGAAAACGAAAAAGTTGACTTAAGCACGTCGTAAAATATTTGATTAAACTGCGAAATACAGAGCTTGCCCATTAACCGCGCTTTCTTCGCCGTTTAACTGACGCTAATTATCAACTATAAACAATTTTAATTTCCTGTGGGTAGCCTAAGAAGTTGATTAAGAGCGGAACAGCCTCATGTATATTAATTATTATTTTTATGCGACCAGTAAACGCATTGCGCTGTTAAAAGTTCTTTTATTAATACGAATTGCTACTCGTAAAGCAGCGGTCACAGTCCGTGGTTCGCGGGTTCTTAATTAAACGACTATAGTATTTACGATCTAGTTTCACACGGAAAGCTCGACACTTCAAATATTTCGATATTTTACGCGTAGATGCAAAGAACAGGATTTAAGATTTTTCTTTTAATATAAATTTGCCTTTATTTTCTCGAAACAAGTAAACAAGTTCTTGTTCAATTACGGACCAAAATTGCATACGTACGTATATTTCCAACATCTCTTCTGAAGTTGAATAAGAGACACGTTTCTGTGGAACATCATAAAGTTTTCTTTCCAAGATCTCTCTCTTTATCTATCCCTCTCTCTCTCTCTCTCTTTTGCTCTTTCTTTCCCGTCCGCATGTTCACATCTTTGTACGAGAATAGTAAGAAAACCGAACTGCTTTGAGAAAAAGAGTCTATAAAATAAACCAAGGCATTATTTCTTCGGAAATATATCAATATATACTCGCATGTACGAGTTAAGAAATCTGAAATCTTTGCAATATTTTCTATATATGTATTTGAAGAAAAAGCAAATAAGTCATGTGGAATACAGAGTAACGCTGTATGCGGATTTAATGGAAATCGTGTACGAATGAAAGAATTCCACGTGGAGCGTCGCCACTGAGGACCGAAAATGTAGTATATGTTCCTTTCAAGAAATAAGGAGTTCCGATGATATCTCTTGTTTGAGGTTGCTCTGGAAAAACTGGAAGCCAATTTCCACGTTCCGACGCGTGCCCGTCTCTTCGTCTCGCCAAGCGGATTCCATCTCCCGCCGCGGTGAGTCGGAATCTTTTTCAAACGAGTCGCCAACGTTTACGCTTTTTCCTGCCGGCCTCCGCGGCTTCCGGTCTGGAATTTACCGGAAATAATACCGGCGCGCGGGCAACTCGCCGAGCCGACGAGTACACGCGTTGCGATAAGGTCTCCCGGCGTCGCGACGCCTCTGTCTCTCTCTCTCTCTCTCGCAACTTTTAAACTGCCAAAGCCAGCTCGAAGTTTCCAAGAGTGTGTGCGCGAGTTCTCTTCCCCACGTTGCCGACTTCGCGTCGCGACTCTTCATATCCGCGTCGTTGCTGCGGATAAACCGCCAGAATTGCTCGGCGCGTGTGGCGGGCGCTTTCGTCCGGAATTTCACGTGAATTT